AAAATAAACAAATATTGTATATTGCGTTCCCAAAAAACATTTTTAATTAAAAAGTAAACAACAAACTAATACTTAAAATTTGAGTTTAGTGTGAAATACTTGAAAACATGGAACCACACATAACCCTACATTACAGTCTTTGCACATGTATCTGGAAACCCTTCTTTTTTTTGGGCCTAGGTCTGTCTGGGAACAGACAATGCACCTGCTTGAAGCTCTTTTGTACTTTTCAGTTGCGGGTACTAATGTTGGAAAGTGCCTTTCAGTCAATCTTGAAGTTGATTCAGTAGAAATAAGTGTGGGTTTATTCAATTGTCCATATCTGAAATTAGAGATGCGACTTGAAAAAAAACGGTCCATTGTTTTTTTTTTCATATTTAAGGTTTTTTCAACATTAGTCCCATTTGCCTAATTTTTTATGTTTCCAGTCCAGTTCATGGACTAAAATTAGCCACTAAATGACATTTACTAAATGTAAATACAGTCTCGCGCTTAGCACGCGCCACCACCACCGAATTGACCAATAAGGGCCGCGCTTGTTTTGATTTGGTACTAAAAAAGTAACTACCTATAATATTTTTGATTCAGCGCTTGATTTTTCAAAAAGCTACCAAAAGCATTTTTTTTCATGATTTTTTAAATTCATGTAGAGTATAGATTTTTTTTTCTTCAAAAAAACAATAGCAAATTCTTGTAGAATTCATTCATTGGTGGTTAAGTCAAAACATTCCGTGGACCAAAAAAGAAAGCCAAAAAAATTTCTATTTTTTTATTACGGGATTCATTTGGATTGAGCGTTGCACGTTTTTCATCTAAAAATCTAAAAACTAGAAACTTCAAGCTTCAAATTGCTTTTTTACGGCTCCTATACGACCATTTTTAACGAAGATACAGTTATCCGAAAAATCGCAAAAAATGTGGAATTTTTTTTATCCTTTTTTTCTATTAGTGGAGAAGTTTTACATTGCTATTGGTTTCTTATGTGGAAGCTAACAAATAATAAGAAATCAAATTTTTTAGTCTCAGTCAAAATTTTCAATAATGAAAAATGTAATATATTCTACATTTCACTTTATTATTAATATACGTTTTACTCAAAGTTTTATTTTGAAAAATTACTCCATTTTTTAAGAAAGATTGACAGAATATGCCTTATTGTAGCGGATTTCTAGACATTAGCATAGCTAATGTGCATTGCACAATGAAAGTGTAAAATTCTCCCATATTTCCACTTCTTTTCATTTTGTTGTATTGTATATCGGTTAGATTCTACCACTATATACTAAGCAATATCTTCAGTGAAGAGATCCAAGAAAAATTCAATCTCCAGTGAACCTTCTGTCAGATGTTCGTTTTTTACTCCACTGTTACTATCATCAAATGCATGTAACTTTGGCACAAAGTCGTGTTTTGTCCACGTAATAATTAGGTCTTTATAATCTGTTACGTCGGCGTCAAGACTTATCGTTAATTTTAACATTTGGCACATCTCTATTTTCGAAGCTTATATTTATATATCATTGTTTTCAAGCAATTCATTAATATGGCGTACCTCACGTTCATCCAAACCGCAATAACGCAATATCGTTATCACTTTTCACTCTAACACGCTTTTTTTAACGATACTAGTCACTAGTCACTAGTCACTAGATGGCGCTATTTGCAGAATTCTTTATATCAGGAACATATCTTAAAAAAGTAGAGGTGACAGTATTGCAAAATTGAAATATTTTAATAATTTTCAATACAAAAAAGTTTCATTTCTATCATTCTTTTATATTCTGTGACCTCGCGTGTGTACACTGTTCAAAATTTCATGACCATTTTAACACCAAATTAACACCATACATGGTCTATATCGATACAAACCAAAATGGTGTTAAATAGGGTTCGTTGGTCCAGTGTAAATTCGAATACTAAAATGGTGTAAATTTAACTTTCACACAGTATTAAAATAAATTTTACCTGGTGTAAATTGAACTCCTTTTCAGTGTTAAATATAATGTGTTTTTGGTCAAATTAAAACATACAGGAAACAGGTTCCTTGACTCATTACAAGTATATTACCAGTGGTATTATTCCAGAAAATTGAACATTCAATTCGCTAGAGATAATGTTTTTAGTGCGTTCCATCAACTTAAAATACTTCAAATATTGACCTATTTAAGGTATCTTTAGTATCGAACAACTTGTAGTGTCACACCAAAGCAAAGGACTACCTGAGCTTATATACTCTTTATGTAAGTCAACAGAGGCGAGATTTAAGAACATCACGTGATCCACACCGCCTTTGCCGCGATCGGTACACACTATGCAACAAGGAATGCACGGCAAATTGTTTTTATCATTTTAACAGAGTGCTTTAGGTTGAAGTAACTCTTATTTTACAAACAACATATTTAGTAAACTGAACCATACAGCGGGTTGGTTTCACTAAAGTTTTCTGGGTTAATTTAACCAATTTAAAAAAAAATAACTATCTAGTTTAATACCGTCAAACTAATCTTTGTTTATATTAACCTTCCCACAGTTGATTTAAATAAATACTTATGGGTCAACTAAATTAATATAGTTAAATGAACTATTCCTTTTTTCTGTGTAGGTGCACTTCTCAAATATTTTTAGATAAACACCGTTTTGGTGTTTGCTGTATAAAACGTTTTCAACCATAATTCATGGTGTTATATTAACACCACTTGGTGTTGGATTTTGACACCATTTTAAGATTACTCTTCACACCACAGATATTTTAAACAGTGTATAAACGATATATCGTTATGTTTTGTTGTGTTTTTGTGCGTTATTATATTATTCTACCGTTGATTCTACAATCTGTTTAGATAATATTGTCAATAATAAATGGTATGTTATTATAATTTATTTTATTTATTTATTGTATATCAACTGAGAGTTATTTGCTTTCAAAATTTTATAACATTATATTGCTGTATAAAACGTTATAAAACACTTTATAATTTCGATTTGTTTTCAAACTATTTAACTGCTAGACAGTTAAATAGTTTTAAAAAAGATTGAAATCTTCGAAAAAATATATTATTCGTTTCTAATAAACCGCCAAAACCTAAAAACCAGAGCGGAATTCTCACTAGGTGGCGCTGTAACACGATATCACACGTTGCCTATCTATTTCTTTATAATCTGTGGTCACGTAGGCCTCTCACTGAATTTTCCATCCCGACGGCTGTCATATATTTCCGCCACCGGCAGATATATGGCACCGATAAGTGGTCACGATTATTCGGTCAGCCGTCTGTATGGCAAATTGATTTTTAAAAATTGTCCGAAATATATGACATTAGTCCATGGGGCATGAATAACTCTGTGTGGCAGATATATAGGTCAGCCGTACTGAAAGGGTTAAATAAAAAAAATAATCATATTTAAGTATTTCTAGAATTTTTCGTAGAATTTAAAAATTCAATAAGATTTATGGGCGAACTCACGAAATGGAGTTTGACCTACACTTTTATTGTATTTTGATCTTTCATAATTAAGTAAATATTACAGCTCAGGTTCCAGATTTTTAACCGCAATTAATTATTTTTTACAAAGTTTTTAAAGTCTAAAACCTATCCTCCGTGACTGTTACTCTTTCTAGGTTAACCTATATGTTTTCAAATATCTGAGGTAGTAAAAGCATACTAAAAATATCAGTTCACTAAGTAAATTAAACACATCCAAAGCAATCGAATCAAATATAAAATTATTAAAAATTAAAAGAAATAATTTTTATAACCATTTATGTACCTAGATGTTACAAAAATTGATTCTATCCTCCGTGAATCTGTTTTTGCTTTAAATTTTAGGCAACCGATGGCGCGTTAATCATTTTAAATAAGCAAAAAACCTCTGTTTACGACATTATAGATGCATGTGATTCCTGAAGGTCACTTAGAATTTATATGCAGATGAGAGTGTTGCTGTTTTATAATTCAAAAGTTTAAGTTCAATAATTTGGTATTTTAAAACCTATTCAGCGTGAAGTGTAATATCTCAGTAAGTAGATTTTTTTATAAATATTTTATGTATGTACAATTGTATTTTTAAAAATATTAAGGTGTCAAAGGATACAATAACTCATTTTAAATATACAAAGGGATGTTTTAAAAAAAGCATACGAAATCCTAACCTCCGTGAAGCTATCTTCCGTGAAGCTCTAATATTCAAAATGTATGATTTCTTAAAATTCTTGCATTAGTGCAGAACCAAAAACCACATTCTAGACTAACAGTGAAACAACCAAAAATAAAAAATAATCATTTTCACACTCAATATATTCACCCTTATATGGTTCCATTTGAAAAACCAAAGTTGATATCACTTCCGGTTTAACCGGAAGTGATAACGCATTGAAAATAATTTTAAAAAATAGTTTACAATGCCTCATAATTGCTATAAAAATTTCAAATTAATATATTTTCCCTTTCTCTATAAACTTCTAATGAATAAGTTACATGAATCACCCTGTATACAACAGTGTCTCAGAATTCCATCCAAACATTTTAAAAGGTGATTCTACATTGCAGAATCTACAGCGCGAAATATAAGAACATTCAGTCAAAAATGCTTTATTATAAGAGGGCAATCACCCTCATAAAGCAGAACAAAAATTTTTTAAAGCAATGTTTCTTAAAAACGGTTGGTTTTAAGACCAAACAAAAAATAAATCTTCTAAAAAATAATAAAAAAACAAAATCCCACATATTTCCTTAAGTAATAAAATCATAATTTTTTTGTTATATTAAAAATAAGTGATAAGCAAAAATAAATTCAGTCAATTTGTGTATTTTGCAATGTGGGGCCTTTATTTTGGATTGTATTAAGAATTTATAGATAATAAGAGAAAAAAGGTGAATTACCTATTTGTGAAATTCCATATGGCAATCAAAATTTAATGTAAAAATGCTTGAACTACCTTTCATTTAACTCAATAAAAAACATTACAAAATTTGTATACAATAGAGGGCAACAATGCTTACCCTTTCTCGAGCAATGCTTCATCATCATCCAATTCTTCTTTCATTTCTTGTTTTATTGTTATACCAGAGGTTGAGGGCATTTCTTGGTCAGTACAGGTACTTGGTTTATTGTAATTCATCAAAATATCACCTATGGAATCGTTAACTAGTTCTTCAGCTTCTTTTTTAACAATTGTTTGCTCCATTGTTATCTCAGAGGTTGAAGGCATTTCTTGGTCAGTAAAGGTGCTAGTTTTATCGTAATTCATCAAAATATCACCTTTGGAATCAACAAGTAGTTCTTCAGGTTCTATTTTAACGATTGTTTGCTCCATTGTGCATGTATTGACTCTAAAAACAATTATCAAACCTTTATAAACTCTCAAACAACGAATTAAACGTATAATAAATATAAATTTTATTTACATGGAAAAATAAGAAACTCAGTCAGCTTCGCCTACAATGCAAGAAACGCCACAGAACGCCAATTAACTGTTTGTATTTTATTAACAAAAAATATTGCATGATTTAAATATTATTCCATATAGAAAATAACCGATGAGACATTTGAACCAGTGCTGCCAGAGCAGATGGTCGGATAATCCGTATATATTCGTGGAAAGGGTGGGGGGAAGCCTCGAAAAATCCGTAAAAATCCGTTTTTGTCTAAATTTCGAAAAATTTCTTCTATAAGGGGGATTTTCGTGACAAAACATACCTTTCGTCAAAGAAAATCCGAAACATCTCAGAATTTTTCGGGGGAGTTTCAGAAGTTTGAACCTCTTCGTCAGTGATATAATTCTCGTCACTTTCCATTTTTCACAAAATAAAGTATTTTATATACAGATTCGGATATATAATAAACATTGACTTTGAGATCAAAATATTGCCACAATGCAGTTCAATGCACTGAACTGGAGTCAGTATTGGTTAGTCGTTACTATTGGTGGCATTGCGCCGCTTATATATTGGCAGCAATAACAACGTGTTATAAAACCTTAACAAATGATATGAAACTATCGTTCTCTTTGTCACACTCAATGAAAAAGCATATGTTTCGCATATATTCGGCGTTTAAGAACCCTATATTAAGAACACATCCTTTTTCAATCCGCTTTCTTTTTCTGTCTAACGTAGTAAAAAGGAATTCCTCTTAAGAGGAATAGAAGCGTGACAAAGATGATCAAAAAACGGGGCAAAAATGATGTTTTTTTAGTATTAGTATGAAGCTATCTTAAAAATCCGTAAAAATCCGTATTTGATGAAAATCCGTTCAAAATCCGTTTCCAATTTCTCTAGACCTGGAAAATCCGTAAAAAACGGATAAATCCGTTCATCTGGCAGCACTGATTTGAACTATTATTTTGACATTTAACAGAAAATTCACAACAAAATGTAGGTCAAAATATCCCTAGAAATATCACCAGACCTTAGATTAGGGAAGAGAATGGAGACGTCACATACTTCCACACAGTGTGGAAGTATGTGGGAGACGTAATCAGACCATTTGCAATGTTTCACTCATTCTATCTAATTTGTGATATTTAACACTATTTCGTGCGAACAGAATTAAATACACATTTTGACATTTGAAATTGATGACGCAACGGAAAACATTCGTCGCGGCGACTATACAAACCACAAAACTAGTTTTGGTTTTGTGACACAAACAATTGACCCTTAAGGGTCTCTATTGCAAATAATAATGAAAAATAAAACTTTAAATTAAAATCAACTGATTTTTTCCGCATATTTGAAGGAATTTTCATGTTGGAGTAGACAAAAAATCGTAAATGAATAATAAATTTTATTCAACACCTGCAAGAAATATGTAATTTTGTGGTTAAAATAATGAATTTTCTGATTGTTAATTTCTTTTATAATAGGAAAAAGTGAGGTTAAAAGTACTTGACAGTTGTCAAATAAATTATCAAGTAAAACAACCTAATATCTTAATTTAATTGTTTAGTTAATTACTTCATTTTAGAATAGAAAATTTAAAGCTAAAATCATGCCCACAGCCTTAAGCACAAAATTCTAATTTTATATTTTTACAATTATTATTATTATTCAGAACAAACACACATACAGAGCTGCAAGCTCTCAAAAAACTTAAATCGTTTTTTTGATTTAAATCGTTTTAATGACTTAAGTCATTTGGTAATAAGTCATTTCTCTAAAACTGACTTAAGACTTAAAATTTAAGTAATTTTCAAAATGATTTGTGACTTAAATATTTTTTTCAAAATGGAAAAGACTTAAGTCATTAATAAAAGGCTTAAATCAGTACATACGATTTAAGTCATATAGAAACGATTTAAGTCAAAAAAAGATTTAAGTCTTTATAAAAGTCGTTAAATTATTTAAGTAATTTAAAAAGATTTAAGTCTTTTTGAAAAAGATTTAAGTCTTTTTAGAAAATATTTAAGTCAGATTTTTCATATATTTTTTTATAAATTTTTAACAGCGGCATTTTCTTTTGAACTTCCAGGGGTTCACGCGGCAGCAGATCAAAAACTCCTTCCTACCTACAATTGCTACCGCTAGTGAATAAAAAAACCGCCGCGGTAAAGTTAGCTTTTCGAAACCGTTTGACGGCTACATTAAAAAATGTCCTGTCTAAAATAAATGAAAAAAAATGAGAATTTATAATTTTGATATTTTGTTTGCCAACATTCGTCGTGTTATGCGTGCGTAGTTAGGTCTAATTTGTAACTTTTATCTATTTTAACAGAGTTTGAATAGATCTATACCGTTTACCCATTTATGTATATAAAAAAGTAGCCTCCCTGTATGTACTCTACTAAAAAAGGTGGTTTAAGTTTTTATTTTGATTGTCTACTATATACTCAAAAAATGTGTTTTAAGTTTTTATTTTGTTTGTAAGTGTTCTGAAAATAAATCGTTTTAAATTCTTAACATAGTGGCTTATTATCATCTGTATCTACAATAGATTAATAATATCAGTATCATTAATACCATAAAATTATTAACATTTCGTCACCTGAGAATTATAGTGTTCTATCTGCATTTTCTTTTTTTTATTCAGGTTAGTCTTGTTTTAAGTATTAAAGATGCATATTGTTCTATCTATATATAATTGGAGTAGAAATTGTACAGTTTAAGCCTTAAACTTTACAATTTCTACCCCAATTATATATAGATGGATCAATATCATCTTTAAGACTTAAAACAAGACTAACCTGAATAAAAAAAAGAAAATGTAGATAGAACACTATAATTCTCAGGTGACGATTTAAAAAATCGTTGTATTAACTTAAGGGTAATTATTTTGATTTAAATCACAATTTTTGATTCAAGTCATTTTATTGACTTAACTCTTAGATCACGATTTAAATAAAAAATATAGACTTAAGTCATAAAAACGACTTACTAAAGGAATTAAGTCATAAGATGACTTAAATCACTTTATATTGATTTAAGAATTTGCGAAAATGACTTGACTTGAAAGAAAATGATTTAATTCAAAGACTTAATACTTAAATCATTTGAACTTTATCTTAGAATTGACTTAAGATTTAAATCATTTTGATTTTAGAATTGACTTAAGATTTAAGATTTAAGTCTTTTTAAAACTGACTTGTTGCAGCTCTGCACACATAATACAATTTTGTAACGGTATGTAAGTATACTTACATGTTTTGTATATTTTTGACCAAATTCCTCTTTATTGTTCTGTTATCGCGATCTTTCTGTACACTTGTTTGGGCTTTGTCAGTTTTTGCTAAATTAACTGAAGGTATTGCATCATTTTTTAACTTCCACTTATTTTTAGGCAATTTCAACAGTTTTTCTCTATCACAAAAGTCGTTATCAGAAAAATGTTTGGAACATATTCTAGCATTTTTAATATTAAAATTATGCTTTTGATAGCATTTTTGCACCCACGACTTACAAATTTCTTTATCGGTTGGAAAAGTAAAATATCGACAACTGTGTGAATAATTTTTACTTTTTTTATTGTTGTTACTGGTACAGCAAGTTATAGCACAGTAAACCATTGTTTATTATAATAATAATAATAATAATAATGTCTTTATTGCAACAAAATATGTAAAAAAATACAAATAATTCGTTACAAAAGGCGAAGTTCGGTTGAACACAAATAATGTGAGCTCCCGTCAGTAGCGTAACTAGGGGGGGGGGCGGGGGGGCGGTCCGCCCCGGGCGGCACTTCTTGGGGCGGCAAAAATCGTGAGAGAAAATGCGAAAAAAACTGGAAGACAGAATATAAAAATAAAAAAAATATTTGATAATTAAATATTCTCTTTCGAAATAATATAATTCAAATTCCAATAGATTTGAGATTTCTACAATTACTCCCAAAATATTCCAAATCAAATAAAGCTAGCAAAAAATAGAAACAAGACCGGTATTCTAAATATTTAAACATTTTTATTTATTTTTTACTCAGGTTTAAGTTTTTTTTGTAGGTACTTTTACATAAGGTTGAGAATTTATCTCTTTGTTTATTTCATATAAATTATGTTAAAGCACATTTTATTTGTTGTTTTTCTTTACCTAGGTCTAAGAATTTTTGTTTGTTTTTAATTCTTAAAATATTACAATTTAATGTTATATATATACAGGGTGTCCGGAAAAAGGAGGTCAATCCTTTAACCATATATTCCTTGAGTTAAAACAATAAGACTTTCATAATACCATTTTTCAATTTAGAGCTTCATGTTCGATATACAGGGCGACAAAGTTTGAAATTTAAAACAGATTTTTTTTAATAATTCGAGTAATTAATAAGGTATTAAGTTCAAATTCAGTACACTACTTTAACATAAATATTTACATCTTTTGAGATCAACAAAACAAAAAACAATTGTCAAATAATCAAAATAAGGGGGGCCCAGTACTCAATGACCCCCCTATTTTTTAGTACGGGCGCCAGTGACTTCCAAAGGGTATTTTTTCAGGTAATCATTTAGTGTTAAACATTTTTTGTCTCTTATAAAATTTTGATGAAATGATTTGTTTTAGAGATAATTTGTAAAGTATTGGTCCTTGATTGATGCCCACGCGGCTTATGGCAATCTCATAATTTTCAAATGTAGTACTGGACCACCCTATTTTGATTATTTGACAATTGTTACATCTTTTGAGGACAACAAAACAAAAAACAATTGTCAAATAATAAACATAGGGTGGTCCAGTACTACATTTGAAAATTATGAGATTGCCATAAGCCGCGTGGGCATCAATCAAGGACCAATACTTTACAAATTATCTCTAAAACAAATCATTTCATCAAAATTTTATAAGAGACAAAAAATGTTCAACACTAAATGATTACCTGAAAAAATACCGTTTGGAAGTCACTGGCGCCCGTACTAAAAAATAGGGGGGGTCAGTGAGTACTGGTCCCCCCCTATTTTGATTATTTGACAATTGTTTTTTGTTTTGTTGATCTCAAAAGATGTAACTATTTATGTTGAAGTAGTGTACCGAATTTGAACTTAATACCTTATTAATTACTCGAATTATTAAAAAAAATCTGTTTTAAATTTCAAACTTTGTCGCCCTGTATATCGAACATGAAGCTTGATTGAAAAATGGTATTATAAAAGTCTTATTGTTTTAACTCAAGGAATATATGGTTAAAGGATTGACCTCCTTTTCCCGGACACCCTGTATATGTTATATATATAATTATATATTTTTAATTTTGCGTACGGTCCTCAAAACTGACTCCTAACCTAACATCTCTTCCCCCCCAAAAAAAAAACATGAGGGCGACAGCCACTGCTGCCCCGGGCGGCACTTTTTCTAGTTACGCCGCTGGCTCCCGTTCTTCCACTTAACCTTTTAACATAATCCTAATAATTAAGAACTACTAGCTATACTAACATATAACTAAAAAAAAAAAAAAATTAAATCTAAACAACATCCTTAATTTATATACATATGTGTGTATGTAGACACATATACTTTCATTAATACAACCATGTGATCCTAAATTATATATAATTTTATATAACAAAAATGTTTAAAATTCAATACAAAATAAAATAATAGTAAGTAAAAAATAAACCCTAAAACATCAAAATTAATTAAATTAATTAAAAAAAAAATGCTATAACATTATATAAATCTATATTTAATGCTCAATTCTTAATTTTTTAATAATTAAAAATTCAAAGTAACAAATGGTAGTATATGTTTTTTAAATTTTGTCTTAGAAAGTACCATAAAATTTAATGGTAAGAGATTTAAAAACTTGTAAATTGCATAAGAAAATGATCTCTGATACATAACAGATTTGTATTTTGGTGGAGATATGCGTTGTTTGTGCCTTGTATTTATATTGTGAACATCATATCTATATAATATTTTTTCAAACAGATAAGAAGGACATTTTATATTTATAATTTTGTGATACATCACAAAGCAATGAAGCGCACGTCGTTGGCTCATTTGTAGCCAACCCATTTGCTCCATTCTTTGTGTTATGCCTCTTTGTCTCCTTCTTATACCCCAAATTAGCCTAACACAAGAGTTTTGAATAAGTTGTATTCTATTTGCATCAAATTTGGTGATGTGGGAATTATATACTGTATCGCAATAGTTCAGGTTAGAAAGGACTAGAGAATCACATAGCATAATTTTTAGCCCTATATGTTTTTATAAATGGCTTAGGTACGTCTTGTTTTATATTTAACTGACACTCTACCCATAAATGATCTGATATTCCACCATTATCACTTACTTTAACACTTTTAACGAATTCTTTATTTGAACACATTATAAGATCAAGAAGTGATTGTCCCCTGGTGGGTTCATGAATTAGCTGGGAAACGTTATAAGTATCTAATATATTAGCAAATTGTTCAACGTATGATTGATTAACATTAAACAAATTAACATTAAAATCCCCAGTACAAAGAAAAAGATCACTCTTCGACATTAAATAATTTATGGCCTCTTCAAATTCATGAAAAAAAGATTGAATATTTATATAGCCAGGTGGTCGATAAATGGCTCCAAAAGAAATCAAGGTTTTATTAATTTTAAAATTTATAAATATATTTTCAAAAGTTGTTACTTCGACTGTACTCAACAAAATATTCTTAATAATATTACTTGCATAAATAAGCACACCTCCACCCCTACCATTTCTGTCTTTCCTGATCACCCTAAAACCATCTATATTAATAATTTCATTGGGAATAGTAGGTGTAAGCCAAGTCTCAGTAATAGCTACTAAAGCATAAGATGTGTTCGCTAATTTCATTAAAATGTCGCACCAGAGATCTAGCATTTATATGAGCAATTTTAATTTTCTTATTCATCATATTTAAATTAATAAAAGCTATAGAAATAAACACAATAATTACCTACAGTATGAAGTAATCAAATAAAAATAATAATAATAATAATAAAAATAAAAAAGGTGTTATTAGTTTTTCTTAAAATTTTTTCTTGATTTTGATTTTGGGGAGGTGACGGTCTTTTTTCTTTTTTTATCAATCTTTAATTTATCTTCTTTAACTTCTTTCTTTCCTGCATCCGATTCTTTATCCGTTTCTATGTCCGACTCTGATGATTCTTCACCCTCTTCAATGTCTGCAGTTTTATTTTGGTTAGTAGATGTAGAAGCTTCTTCTGACGGTTTATTTGTTATTTTTTCTTTTTCAAAGCTGACTTTAAGATCTTCGTACGTTAAGACTTTGCCGTCTATAACAAATTTATTGTTCTTTATAAATGCTTCTTTTTTTGCTATTCTTGCCTTCTTTAGCTCTTCGTATAATATTTTTTGTTTTTTTCTTTCTTCTGGGTTTAAATCATTAGAAATACTTATACCGGACCCTTTTAGATTTTTTACATTTCTAAAGATTTCTTGCTTTTTCAAATTTGAAACCAACTGCAGAAAAATAGGTTTAATTTTTTGTTTGTCTTCACCTTTTCCTATTCTATATAAATTGTTAATTTCTTGTTCAGTTATATTAACTCGTACAGTCTTGGCAAAAAAATCTATAACATTATCCAAAAGTTTAACATTAGTTTCCTTGAATCCATAAATAATATTATTATTTTTATTTGCTGATTCTACGACGTTTAGTTGCTTTAGTATACCTACTTTGATTGTCCTGCTCCAATTTATTTAATTTTGTTATAAATTCCTCTATTCGTTCTTTTTGTTTAGTGCTCTCTATTTTAATTGCAGTAATATCGTTTTGAATATTGACGTTTTGTTCTTTTATTTGTTTAATCACTTCAAATATTTCGTTATTTGAAATAGTAGAAGGCATAATAAACAATTTAAATAAATAACAATAGCAACTAATTACATGTGCTTCCGTAGCTCAGTGAGAAAACAAGCAGGCCCACAAACAGCACACACACCGCAGCCCGGGTTCGAATCCGACCACCAAGAGATTTATTTTTTGAAAGTTTAGAATTTTTTTCAAGTTGTGGAATTTCTTTTTGTAGCAACAAAAAACAAACTAACCAACACTGCACTTATTAAATGTTAAAATGTTTGTTCAAAATGCCACTTAGTTTTTTCACTGCACAAATTGACTTTAGTGTTATTCAGTTTATAAAAATCTTATTTTTAAAATGTTTTTTAAATCAAGTTTTAATTCAATCTAGTAATTAATAAATTCACTTAAAAACTTGCAGAGCAAATATATGACAACCTTGATTATATATATATCAAAAACACTAAAAATATACAAATAACTTAAATAACACTGTTTACAAAGAATCTAAACGAAAACCATTGTTTATTATATTAAAAAACACCAAAACAATCCAAATAACTTAAACTAAACGAAAACTTATGCAGCGACAACGTACTTTTGTCACACGATGACGTCAGAGGATAAAGAGACGGAAGAAAAAGATGGGCGTACATACCCTGTTGTCTTAATACCATCAGAGATACCTCTGAGTACCTTAGAAATAAATAAAATCCTAAAATAAATGCTTTTAAGAAGCTCTTAAAAGCATCGAAATAGACAAATATTTTAACTTTACTAAGCATTGCCTACCTATAGTTGTGTATAGTTTTGACAAATTTAATTTTCTTTTGTTTTGCACTGCTGTCAGTACTGGTACTCGCTGCAGAAGTATTTTGGCTTGCTTCTCCTCTACAAATTAAAGGATATTAAAAATATAAAATTAAAGGCATTTAATTTATATTACCTAGTTTCAATCTTTCGTTTTTTCCTTATTTGTTTCTTTAATATACTTTCATCCGTTGATGACGTAGACTCTTGAAGTTTAGTTTTAACTTTACTTGTTGATGCCTCAGAATCTGTATACAAAGTTAATGCAGTGCTTATAACCTGACAAGATGGTTTGGATTTTTCCAGTTTTAGAGAAGGCACACTATTTAATTTTAAAAACCTTTTGCCAAAACGCATAGCAAAATCTTCGTTTTTAAAGTGCTCCGAACAAATAACTTTATTTTTATTCCAAGTCCAATTTTCTTCTGATTTTCCAATTAAATTAAGCCATACTTTTTGAAGCTCTCCTTTGGGAAACCTTTAAATAGTATAGGTATTATTGTAACTATTGTTAAAAATTTATCATGTAAATATGTACTTACACATGAAAACTTATACCCGGGGTTGGAAATTTTCTGTTATTCTTACAGTCTTTTACAGCACAACAAGCCATAATGAAGCACAAAACAACAGAACACTATAGAACAAACCGTTAAATACCTACAAATACTTAAAACGAACGTGAAAAATTATAACCTCGAAACTCGGTGTTTACTAAACAAATAACGTCATCGACTAGAAAATGGCAGCCTACAGAGCGTCGGGCAAAAATCGGATGCGCAATGGTCGAAGCCACGGTCTTATATACAGGTCCTGCAACTTTAAGCTTCGAGGTGGCTTCCTTAACGTGCCAAGCCGCTAGGTGGCGCTAAGATCGAAGGGGTAAAGTCAATTAAACTACTACTTAGTTAAATGTGGAACTACTGCATAACCATAACCTAACTTTTTAAATTCTTTTTCTATGTTTTGTTTACATTTTCAAAAATTTAATATTTGTGAATTTGTTTCGGATAATTTACGTTAACAAAATAGGACGGGAGCAGCTCGTGACACCCAAACACGAGAGATCTAAACTCGATGGGTCTAAAATTTAAAAGCGCGGTGGGTCTAAAATGTGTGGCAACGTCGCACTTCAAATAAGGTTTGGTTCACATTTTTCTTAAATGAAATGTAAATTTTCGGTCGGTTTAGACCTCACGAGTTGCTCCCCTGTGAATCACAGGCTGTGATATACCCATAACCAACAAAATTTACAAAGTTACTGGTGCCATCATAAAGGTACATTGATAATATCAATTTGATATTGTTATTTATATACCAAAAAGCTTTATAACAATAACAAATGATCATAGATATATGTATGCAAGTGATGTTGTATTCTTATTCTATGGTTGACTTCTAAGGATTGATTTTGAGTTTAAAAATATATTCAGAGATGAAAGCAGTAACAGTTGGTCAGTTTAGGATTGGTTTGTGACATGGCCATGAAATGGTTCTTCAGGGCAACACTAATACATGTCAGCGTCGTCAACCCGTCCTTTTGAAACATTCTAAATTTAGAAATAATATAATTAATATATTAGATGACCTTTTTAAAAATAATTTGACGAGTAAGCATTTAATATGTATTTTAAATATGTGGATACCAAACTAATATTGTATGTTTTCAGTACTTCCAGAGGATGCCGAAAGTCAAAACTGGTCGAGATAATTAATAAATAAAAATATCCATGTGGCCAAAAGCAAAAAATTCATGTGGCCTAATTGTTGGAACCAGTATATCATCAGTTTATCCCACCTAGAGTCAGTGAGAGAAAGGGAAGAAACATACAAGAAGGATAGTTAAGTATAGTATGTGACACAGGTGTGAAACAGAATCGGCAAAACTGGAAACATGACCCCTAATGGATAGTTGTGTGCCATTGGGTCCTGTTAACAGGACCCAATGGCACACAACTAAAAAGTTCTTAAAGCCAAATTTGGCTTTAAGAACTTTTTAAGGAGCCTTATTGATATATGTAAAATAGTTTTAAAATGTAAGTATTATGTTTTAAATTCAAAACTTGTTGGCTTTTTAGCAAACCTTGGTTTTTCATTACTTAGGTTGAGTTGGTTCATAAAAAAGAATAATTTGGTTATTAGGCCTTGTGACAATACAAATTAAGCAAAAAAAATGCAAAATGCACACTAGTTATAAACTTGTTAGTGTTCTAAAATATATTTGTAAAAACTTATAATTTATATTTCAAATGTTAAATCTAATAAATTTGTTAGCCTAAACATTACTATAATTATTATAGTCAATAATTCTCTTTTGGATGCATTTTGCTTTTGTAACGTACATAATAGCCCCATAAAATTTTTTGAAAAACGTGTTTTTAAATATATTTAGATATGTAAAAGAGAAAAATTCAACCAAAAAGAATGCAACCTCGAATGTAACAGTGGACCATTTAAAAAAATCAATCTTTTTTAAAGTTTAAGGTTACTTTTTTTAAAAGCTAGAATTTTTTTAATTAATAGTTAATCAGTCTAAATGTTTGTTATATTAGTTTTCTACCAAAAATTGCCCAATATATTTTTGCTTTAAATTTTATGTTTGTTAATTAAATTATTTTTAAAAGGAGTTGGAAAATGGAAGCCATGGGACACCAACCTGAGAGCATAAACCTTAATTACACAAATGCAACACAACCTACAAGTTTGAATCTATTATACACGAACTGGAGGACATAAACCCTACTTACGTGAAATTCAATGCAAGAAAGAAGACATTCTTGCAAGATGCAGTTCTACTGCACTAGTTGCATATTTTACCCAATACTATGAACTATAATCAATCTTTGCCATTGAATACACAAAATTCAATAGTGATACTTTCACATGTAACATTTTTGTACTGCATTTTGTAATATCTTAAAGTTAAATGATACCTATGCATATTCTTATTTTTGTAAAGAAATATTAATGTCATATTAAAAAAAATACCAAACAGTTGGGTATATTTTATTATTAGTTTATTTTTGTAAAAGTAACTTTTTATTATTAAATTTGTAAGGTTTGTATTTTTACTCTTCAAGGAAACGACCTTTAATAATTGTTTATTGATTTATTTTCAGTTTAAAATCGTTGTAAAATCCTTAATATCCAAATAATTTTTAAATAAACAAATCATGCGTCATTTTTGTTATGATTCATATGTCACGTGACGTGTTGACTTCTGTCAAAATATTTTGCTTTTTGTTTGTAATGGTGGAGTTGTGTTTTTCTTCTAATCTGCGGTTTTAAAAAATGACTTATTTTAGAAAGATGGTCACTTTAACATATGGATAAACCCAGTTTTTAAGTTTGACGCACATTGCAAACAAAGGGATTATTTATAATTTATTATCTATGATTATTATTATTATTCATTATCTATGATTACTTCGTTGCAAAACCGGAGATTTATTCGATTGCCATTTTCATAAAATAAATACAAAATGTTATCCCTTAAGCTTAATTTTCATGTATCCGTTTGTCCGTCATCCGTATGTCAGTTTTTCAATAAAATCGTCCGATAAGAAATGTTCTAATTTTCATGCATACGTTTTTTAATGACGTTTAACGGATTGATTTTGCGACAAATAGAAATTAAGTGTCAGTATATTCACTTACTAAATTTACCTAATGCTTAATTGTCATAGTTACAATTATGTCAACAATTATAACTTTAACAGTTAGCTGTCTAATAAATTTAAAGGTAGGTAAATATACCTTATAAAAAGAATATACTAGCCCTAATATACGTTAAAATGTATAGTTTTAAAAAAGCAGGTCCTTTTAGTTCTAGTTTTAATTTTTTTTTGTTTGTCCTTTCTTTTTTTCCGTTATTCTTATTAAATAAAAACTTAACAGTAAAACATTATTCACATAACGAACGTAATATTTCGGTTTTACAATCTTATTGAAAAGATATAAAAATATTTAAAAATAAATTATCTTAAAATGACGTTAGGCGTCAAAAACAGATGTGTAGTGACGGATGAGTTAAAATTATTTAACCTTTCTCTGTCAGACGTACGAAGTTGAAACTTGACGGACCGATAAAATGTCATAATTTTCGAATTATAATTGGACCAATAAGAGCGCTCCCGGATGAACGGACTGACGGACACACGGATACATGAAAATTAAGCTTTACCCGGTCTTCAATCTTAGAATTTGAATTTAAATTAATGATTTCTATACCAACTTTAATAGATATGGTATAGATGGCTCCACAATAATTTAAAAATATACGTGTACGACTGGTCATATAATGTCTATGAAGTAAAAATGTATTAAAAAAACATCAAGCGGAGCGTACAAAAATGGGACCAAAAGGTCCTAAAGGGTTAAATAAAATATTTACAGACTCTGTAATACAGAGTATACCTGTGTAAAATGAAAAAGTATATAGGGTTGTTGGTACACTGAGAAAAAAATGAGACAAATAAACTCCCACACAGCACATATTGGACGTCCAGTGGACGGCCATTGTACATCCAAACGTCCAATTTAAGTCCATTTGACGTCCATTGGACATCTTGTGCTGTATGGGCTGTGTAGCTAATACTTTTATTAATAGTGAATATATTGTTTATTTCCTCTAAATAGTCGAAATAATAACGATAAATATACTTTAGTAAAACTTTATGTGTCGGGAATAAAAATATATTTAGGATAAATAAACTGTACCCTTGTCCCATATTTAAATATTTTTTTTATTTGGGAACTTTTTTCTCGGTGTAATATTTTATAATATATTATAAAATTAATATATAGGGTGTCGCAAACGTCCTCGTGCAACTGGATATGTAGACAGTTCAATTTCTGGAAAACACATTTTTTTAAATATTTAAAAAAATTGGGTTTCCTGCCGAAAATGACCCATATATGGTTTCTATAGAAACCAATAAGAGAATGAAATGGTTTGTACTGGACTGAATATGTGTATTGGTACTGGTTTTTATTGGGTTCTATATATAGAACCCAATTCAAGACAATTATGTTTTCCAATTGATACCAATTCACCAGATTCAAACCTATAAGACCCAATACATTACAACATAAATTCCCATTGGTTTCTATTGTTCTTAAAGGGGCATTTTCGGCAGGGAGATGAAGAATTTAAAGTGTAGGATATATCGAAAAAGACAACCATCAGCACAGCAAACGGAAAATTATAGAAATGTATAGGATGACTCCGCGTTTGAATATCAAATCTTAAAGTTTTATCATAACTGTATTGAATCGTGCTTTGTTTTTATATTTTTCGGCTCTATACCTATGCACGACTATATTTAAAGTCAAACTCAATGGTGTCTTACAAGATACATTATTTTGATTTTCTATATTCAACAGAGAGATAGAAACTCGCCCCTGTCGAATGGTGCAGTCATTTATGCCTCTAGAAATTATTAAAAAAGTGTTCAGTCCAATGGTGCAGCAACTTCGGATTCCTATTCTCCTCAGAGACATAGAAACTCAAGCTTTTCGAATTTTACTGGCAATGATTTTCGTTAATGTCCCCGAGAATTATACAAAAACAGCGCAATGCAATATCGCAACGGTTTCGACTTCTCTTTACTC